AATAATAATAATAAATTATTCATTTATTTAGACTCAATTATCAGGTTAAAATCGGGTCGAACATCGGCCCGGATCGGGTATGGGTAAATTAAATTCGAGTTATTTTCGGTTCGGGTTGATTTTGATTCTAGTTGATTGCATTATAGGTTGCTTTCTGTTCGGGTTGCTTTCAATTCAATTAAAATTCAGGTCGGATTCGATTCAATTAGGTTTATTTCAAATTTTGGATTAATTTTTGGTCATCATATTCGGGTCAGATCAAATAAATCGATTCGGGTAATCGGGTACGGATCAACTTCGGGTAATTGGGTACGGATCAACTTTGCCAAGTCTAGTCTTGTAGAGTTTAATGTTATGTTATTAGGCGGTATATAATCATTTAAGCTGCAAAAGTAGAATGTGGAGAAATGTTTTTAATCTAGACTTCAACTTGATTCCACAATCGGATGCTTGGAAATTGGAGGAGCCATTCTCATTAGAAAAGATTAAGGAGGCGGTGCGTGTCTTTGTAATGTAGGTTAGACAGTGTAGTTGTGGTTTGCTGCAATTGTTGGTAGCTTGTCCTCGGTTTAGATTAGTCATATTATTGGAATTTAAGTTTATACTTTATCGTAGGTTCTGATTTGTCCGGGTTGTATGTACCCTTTTCTTTCCTGTAAGATTAGGGTAACGAGACCTACAATTTGAATAGATTTTGTTCGATTATGAAATAAAATTATCTTGTAGATAAAAAAAATATAAAAATGAAAATCAAATTAGGATTGATTCAAAAGATTCCGATTTGTTCAATCTCTAAAGCAAGAAGGATTCTCCTCAAATAATCACGATGTTTTTATTAAAATAAAGATGTAGATGTTTTTACTAAAATAAAGATGTAGAAAAATAAATATTAATATTTGTTTATTATTTGTGAAAATAGAATAAATTCAAGAGATTTCAGTTCATCTAACATCTAAGGCAACCGGATTCTCTTCGAATACTTAATAACAATAAAAAAATAAGGTTTAATATTTAATGTGAAACGTGAATAAAATTGAGGAAATTCGACTTGCATAACATCTAATACAACATAAGTTACTCTCGATTTATTCATATTTCACATTTAAAAATAAAGAAACGCACGAGTATTTCTTATTTAATTTGGGTATGTAATAGTCATTAAAATCTAAAATTATATGTATTTAATAAACATACATAATATACTCTAACACATTACCCGTGCTTATACGATAACCATAGTACAACACAAGAACATATTTTATAAATATAAATATATTTAATACTATATTTTATGAGCATAATATACAGTATATAAAAATGTTTGTCCAGTGCATATAATGCACATCGATGTACGTATAAATGCATCGAGATAAGTAAAATATTAAAATAAACCTATATTCATTAATATAAATAACTATACAACATCAATGATATACATAACACGTAGTACCTATACATATAGTAAACCTAGTATAAATATAAATACAAAGCATATATATACATACAAAACGTCAACACATTTAATTATATATATATATATATAATAATAAAATAATATCAAGTTTAAATATATATACATATACACATACACATACACATACACATACACATACACATACACATACACATACACATACACATACACATACACATACACATACACGTAAATATAAAGAAAACAATCTTTGATAATAAAAAAAGATACAATAAATATTGTATTTATAGATATATACATGTAAAGAAAGCTTTATATATAATTATATTTGATATATATATATATATATATATATATATATATATATATATATATATATATATATATATGTGTGTGTGTGTGTGTGTTAAAGTTAATCAATGCATATGCAGTGGCGGATCCAGAAATTTAAGAATGTAGGTTCAAAATTTTAATTTTCTTTTCTTAAAAATAATGAGTATGCAAAAATTATATTTTTTTCTTTTTTTCTTAACACATTAAAATTAAATTTAATTACTTTTTCAAAATAATGGGATGCACTTGGCCCTTATGAGGGCTTAGTGCATCTGCCACTGTGCATATGTTTAGAAATGTATGGAAAAATAAATCTAGAATCTCAATTATATGTAAATGAAAGGAAAATTAAAAAATTAGAAACTAAATAAATGAAAATTGAAGGCAAGAAAAAAAAAGTAAGAACCTTAACTAAATCAATCAAGAAAGTAAATACTCAAAATATAAATATAGTCTTAAATTAAATATAGTCTTAAATAGGTAAACAAGAAGCAGGGAATAAATTAAACATTGCGGAAATTAAGGTACGAAGATAAAAGAGTAAGAAAATAGAAAAAAAAAGATGGAATAAAAAGATAAACTGTAGTGATAAAGGGTATTGAAATGTAAATAACGGAAATAACATGCTTGAGATAAAAATTGCAGAAAATAAAGGTACCGGAACATAAATAAAGGAAACTAAAGTGTTGAAATGTAAATAAAATGAAATAAAGGTGCTGAAATATAAATAAAGGAAAATAAAGTGCTTAAATTAAGAGAACAAAAATAAAATAAAATTGCAGGAAAATAAAATGTTAGGGGTTAATTTCTAGAGTTTTACCCAGACCATAAATAATACGGATCATACCCTCGGACAGGTCACTGTGAGGTCATACGATCAGCTTGTATTAAGTTAAAAGTTAGTAGTTATATTTAAAATAAATAAAAATAAACGTTAGGGTCAAAGATAAGAGATACAGAAAGTAAAATGACTAATCTCAAGATTAAACAATGGTTCACATAAACCCTAGGTACTTAAGCCAACTATTGTCATTTTAAGTTATTTTGAGCCCCTTCAAAGAAAAAAAAAAGAAAAAAAAAAACGTAAGAAGCGTGCGCTCACCGTTCACCGCTTCGCCTATGCTGTCGAAGGCGAATTTTCCAATGCCCAACTACACCTAAAAATGCTTTTTAAAACTAAGCATAAACCCCGCTTAGAAAATGTTTTTAAAAGTATATAATATATAGTTTTTAAAAAATTAGTTTTTGAAAATATATAATATGATTTTGAAAAATACGTTTTTGAAAACATATATTATATAGTTTTGAAAAAAATATTTTTGAAAATGTATAATATACATAGTTTTAAAAACGATTTTTGAAAACTTATATAATATAATTTTGAAAACGTATATATATAATTTTTTAAAACGATTTTTTGGAAACATATATAATATATAATTTTTTAAAACATATTATTTTTGAAAATATAATATTATATAGTTTTATTATATATTATTTATATTATTAATTTATATTTTTTATTTATTTATATTTTTATTTATTTATTTATTTTCATTTTTAACAGGTCCAAAAGGTTTAAGGTCCAAATTAGAGTCTAATCCAGTAAGGGAGTCAAATCGAGCCATACCAGTTTGACCCAGTAAAGGAGGCTCGATAAGGGGCCTAACCCAGCCCAATCAAATTAGGGTTTCCACGCATAGATAAGGGTGCCCCAAGGGAATCATCGTCGGGAGTGTGAGACCGCGTACGGTTTCTCACGCACTCGGTGCTAAACTGGCCATTTCGGCACCAAACAAAAAAGCACGAAGGGGAACACTCCCTATTTTCCAGCAACAACATGAATCACGAACAACAAAACAACCTGAAAAAAATGGGGATAGGGACTACACCATCCCGAGTTGTTTGGAAACAACCATTCGGTGGAGGGGTTATATAAACCCCATCAAGCCACCTAAAACAAGACAAGATAAACCGAATGAACATCAACACAACAAAAAACCACAGAGAGCAATATCGCACAACCAAGAAGAAAAAACCAAGAAAAATCCTCAACAACAACGAAGGCCATCGAAGCAAGGGGCGAGGGAAAACCGAACAAAAAACCAAAATACCAATACTAAAACCATGAAAAAATCGTTTAAAATAACAATGAAAGTTACCAAGGTACATCGAGCAACATAGCAAATAAAGCAAGATCTTTCGAATTTGCCTCGGGAGAGGAAAAGTCGCCGGAAAGCAAAGGGATTTTCGTCAAAAAGGGGTAAAATCGCATCTTTTTTACATCTACGATGGGAATGTGGTTTTTAGGGGATTTGAGTTTAGGTTTCGGGTTTCCGGGGTTGGGAGGAGCATTTTTAGGGAGTTCGATTTTTTCCGACCATCGAGGGCGACGGTTGATCACTGGGGGTGGTCGATTTTCGACCGGCTATAGGAGAGAGGGGGAGTTATTTTTTAGAATTGAGTTAAAAATGATTTTTTATTTATTTTAGGGCTATTTATAAGGGGACTCATGTGCAATTATAAAATTCTTAAATTATTTACATAGTCCCTACAATTTCGATACATAATTCGTTTTGGTCACCTGTTGTAAATTTATCATTAAATTTTGAATTCATTCAATTTAATCCTGTTTAAATTTCTTATATTTTACAAATTGACCCCTCTTAAATTTTTATTCTTTCTTGCGACTCTCAAATAATATCAATCTGACCCCTATTTAAATTTTTTTGCAATTAAATCCTTTTAATTTAATTTTTTTTATTTATTACTTAATTTAATTTCATTTTGCTTTAATGTTTAGCACAAATTTGATTTATTAGGTCAATTTTAATATATCAAAGGTAAGTAATTCGAATCAAATCTTTAAATTTCAATTTAACTTTTAATTTTTGCAATTAAAACAACCAGAAAATTAAATTGATACCGAAAGGACAATATAAAAGTGCTAATCATTCCTTGACTGCAATCAACTCTCGAATCCAATACATTTATAGTAAAACACATATCAAGTAAAATGGTCAATTAAGGTGTCCAGATCAACCTAATGATCGACGACAACTCTAACACATTTATTTAAGTCAAAACCTAATTCCGGACCCACCTTAAGGACCGATACGACACTCAACAATAATGAAAAATAAACCTAAATTTCCAATTAAAGTGCATAAATTAAAAGGAATGTATATGAAAGCTTATTTCAAAGAAAAAAAAGAGAAAAATAAAAATAAAAGACGTTAGTATGACCAAAGCTGCAATTTCAAGTATGCAATTCTAAGTTCTCAAAATAACTGAAACAATTATAAGAATGCATCCACAAACTAGTACATTCTCCCATTGCATTCATCAGAACCACAATAACAAGGCTTGACCTTGATATTACCTTTTGTATCACAAACTCCATTTATCTCATAATTATAGTCATAGGTTAACTCCTCCAATGGAGGTATATCTTCCATGGCAAAAAACATAATGTGTGGCATTCTTTTGTTACCGTGATCATAGAGAACATTTTGAGGATAAAGATTCGGAGAGCAACTATGATTGATGAATCGTCCCACATTCCCAAGTCGAGCGGCGTCAATGGTGAAACATTCATATCCCTCAGATGAATCAAGAGAATTTGCCTTTCGCAAAGAAGGATCATCACTAACCCCTATATCGAACAAGTACTCATCCATACCTACCCTTTGTTCACCTTCATTGTCTAGGATGATTTCGCCCGTATACTCGCATATAAAACTTCCACATCGAATAAAAGATCGGGATCTAACACCCCATCCTTTCATTTTAGTCTTGAAAACTTCAAGAGGAAGATTAATTCCACGTTGACTCACTCTATTAAGGCAAGAAGTAAAGCAATTACAAGAAGGTCCACACTCAATGATAAAGGGCTTCTTCTTAATGAGGCGTTCTTCATAATTGTATGAAGACCCTCCATTCTTTTGGGTGCAAGGGCAAACCTCAGAGTCAGAGCAGCCATCGATACAATCACATCCATCATCGATCACAGGATGATATGAGTCAGGATATGTCACATTGGGGGTATAATTAAATATTGGAAGCTTCTCATCATCAAAATCATTCACTGCACGAATAGGTATCCTCTCTTTATCCTGAGAAATATCGTCGATGACATAATCTACTGTTGGGGGCTCTTTACCTTCAGGAATATCATTCACGCAAACAAGTTTCCAAACTACTAACCAATCAAGTCTTGGTTGTTCTGGAAATTTCTTCAACAAGAACTTAAAAACAAGCTTACCAGAAGATGTTATTTCTTCTCGACAACTATCAACATAGTACAGCCCATCATAAAAATATCTGCTCTTTTCAACCTTCCCATATTTATAGAAAAACTTGCGAATAACCCTTATTGGATTTTTTACCTCCGCACTATTCTTTAATGCAAGGTTTCCTCCTCTAAGTTTTTGGTCTTCTATAGGTTTCTTACCTTTAAGCTTCGGATTTTCTCCTTCCCCTAAATAAATTAAAGTGTCCGGAAACTCTCCTTCTTTTGACTTGAAAACATTGTCATATCGCCCAGAGTCCACAACGCTTATGGCTACAATTTTTTCACCAAGCATCTTATAATCTATACCATGAATATTTCGACAATGGAGACCAACTAAATTCAATTCAGCCCTCCAATCAAAGTGGTCGCCGACTTCAATCCCTGGGATCGTGCCCATAAGCTTATCCCTTTTGATCCATTTATGCCGCTTTTGAAGAATTGAAGCAGCTTCCATAGTAAAACCACCTTTTGATTTCCCATTGTGATTTCGTTCAAGCTCTTTACAAACTTCTCTGTAAATATTAATAATCCACTTAATCTTGTCACGATCATTTCTCAACTCATTATTAATGATCAACTCCTCATTGCTAGGACCGATTTGAGAATGATTCACCTCCACTGAAGCAACATTCACACACTCTACATCATCATCAAAGATTGCTTTGGGATCATTCACCACCACTGAAGTGACTTGCACACATTCTTCATCATCAATAAAGATTACTTCAGGATCATTAATCTCCACCGAAGTGGATTCCATACATTCTTCATCATCAATAAAGATTACTTTGGGATTATTCACCTCCACCGAAGTGGCTTCCACACATTCTTCATCATCATTAGAGGTTTCTTTGAAATGATGTACACCAAACATGGAATCCGAACATTGTTCATCCCCAGCCATTGATGAGCATGCTCCTTTGGTAAGAGATGCAGGATTCTGACTCTTATGGGTTACTTGATAGTCACCAGCTTGACATTGCTCGTCCCCAATGTTCATTAACAAGCTGGTTTCTTCAAAACCTGTGCACACACAAAAGTTAATCACAGCAGAAACATACACTTCGAATTGCTCATCACTAACAGCAACTAACATGATTCTTTTACACCTATACACACATAAATTTTAGCTAAATTTAAACGGCAACACTTACAAACCATAGACATACTTTTTTTAGGTTTCGTACAAACATGAATATCACAAACATCAATAACATTAGGAACATTTTGGGGTTTGGAGTCCCTAACATTTGTGCACGCATAAATATTATCTGCAATAGGAACATCAACTTCACATTGCTCATCCTCAATGTTCATTAACAAGCTGGATTCTTCAACACCTGTGTAATAGTAAGCATTAGTAGCAGCAGAAACATCCGCTCGAGATTACTCATCGGAACAGAATCTGACATGTAAGACTCTTTTGCATCTGTGAATGCAAAATTTAGTTGACATAAAAGCTTCAATCAACCTACTATTGTTAAAGATCATGCACATACCTTTCTTTTTAGGTTCTATGCATTCATGACTATCATGAATATTAAATTCTTTAACATCTGCACATGATAAACTTATAGTTAGAATATAAACATCCATCATTTAACAATCCCTAAAGACAATAAACATACCATCGTCCTTATTTTTTATGCAAGCAAGAATATCACGAGCATTAGTAGCAATCGTAGCATTCAATGACTCGGGGTGCATAGCAATTGTGGTGTTGCTCTGTTTGGAATCTGTGCTGGCACAAAAATTAGCTGCATCAAAAGCAGAATATTCCATAGGCATTCCATCATCAGAATTACTCCCCTTGGAATCGGATATTTGATTCCTCAAAGCAGTAGGAAATTTCAACTTTACAGGAAAATCTCGCCTGACAGTAACCCCTTTACGAATTTTCGGAGGGGGGTACTTTTCCAAAACAGGGCTGCGCGCATATGGGTGGACGTGGTCAACTTGTCTCAAGTTCACTGCAAACTGTAAAGGATAGTCACGAACAGCAGAAATCCTTCGTCTCTTAAATTTTGATGAATCCATGCTGCTTTTCGGTGGATCCATGTTGCCATCGACTTGATACTGCACTTCCATGAAAAATTCTGATATGAATGAATTGCACAAATATAAGTCAATAAAACCTTAGGAAACTCAATTGACTCTAGTTAGTTGATGATCGAGTCTCAAGAATCCCATAAACAGAACCGACAATTCCGATAATTTTTTTCTGCAACCGCATAAGTATCATTGTTTTGTTAAATCCAAGATCTGTCAACAACCTAGCTGCTCTCTCTTTACTATTTCTTTATAAAAGGGACAATTATCGTAACAACAAAGAACCAAACTAACATTGTCAAAATACAAACAAAAGAACTAACCCGAAAATTGAACTAACCTCAAATATCATAAAAAAGAACATTGAACAAGTAATCTGAGTTCCTAAAATATAAGAAAATATAAATAAAACGAAAACCCGAAAACTGAGAGCAAAATAATGAAAAAGAAAAAGAGACATACAAGGCCAAAGCCGCCGGCGCCGTCGTCGCTTATCAAAAGCCAAAGCCAAAGAAAACCCAAGCGCTTTTTATACGACAAAAGTAGTAGTAATTATTTCCTACTAGGAGACTGAAACTCTGAGATAAAGAAGGAAATTTCAGAAAGAAATCATTTTCTTTCAAATTTCGGATTTTTAGGCAAAAAAAAAAAAAACACATTTATATTTATCACATAGCTTTAAAAGATTTAGTTTTAAATTTGGTTGGTTTGGTTATAGAAAACATATTTTATTATTTTTATTTTTATTTTTTAAAAATATTTTTTATTTGGTTTAATTGTATCATTGTACTTAAATTATATTATTTATATTGAATTCTTCTTAAAGTATTTATCGAAACGTTTTGTCTTTTAAAATTTAAATTGTTATCTCATTTGTCTCAAATTGTTAACTCTATTGAAAATATAAGAGGGTAAATTAAATATTAAGCATAATGCCAAAAATAGTCCTCAATGTTTACCATAATATTCATTTTTGCTCCTATTCTTATTTTTTTGGGAACATTTTGGCCCAATGTTTCACTTTGGGGCAAAAAGCTCTCTCTATAGATAAAAACTATTAGTTAACACATGATTAACACTCCAAAATAGGATCATTTTTAAACTTAAATGAAACACTGAGGGCTAAAATGTCATAGAAAAGAATAATAAGGGACAAAGCGATTATTCTATCAAATGTTAGGGGTCTTTTTGCCCTAAAACGAAACATTGAGGTTAAAAATACTCAAAAAAATAGAATATGGGGGTAAAATGATAATTTTAATAAACGTTGGGACTAATTTGACATTATGCCTACATATTAAGTCACTTAACTTTTCATATGATTCCGTTTTGATCATCCGACTATTTTTTCCAAAATCATCACTAAACTTAAGTTTATGTTTTGTTTTAGTCACCCAATTTGGTATGATTTATTTTTAAACTTGTAATATATAAGAATTCATTTATATCACATATTTTTTACTCGATACATAAATTTAATTTGTAATAATAAATAATATTATAACGTAAATAACAAACAATGTATTAAGTTGTCTGTACATGAATTTTTTTTTAATAAATTTTAAATTAACATATCATAAACATTTTTTAAAATAAAATCATGAACTGGTCATTTTTCATTTACAAAGATATGTGTTTGATAAAATTTATATCTCTTATTTTGAGTATTCAGTAGCTTTCTAAGTTTTTGAATAGGGTAAACTATATGTTTAAGTACCTAAAATATCAGTTTTATTTGTTTTAGTACCTAAACTTTTATTTGTTTCAAAACCATACTTAACGTTTATTTTAATACCCTGTCGTTAAAAATTTAACGAAACTGTTACACATGTCATTTTTTATGGGTAAATTAGATCATTCATCACTTAACTATCTTTTTTGTATAAAAGATATGTTTTATTGTCGAAAACTCATTATCCATCGAAGAGATCACAACTTTCTGGAGGCAATTCAACATCATCATCTTCTTCGATAACCGGTAGCTAATCTTTTCTACTACTTTAAGAACTATGGATTTCTTCATTGGTTTCCAATTTATTAATTATCTAATCCAGATCGGGCACTGTAGAGGTGAAGGTGATCCTCAAAACCCAGTTTGCTTCATTCACAAACGTCAGGATTCTAACATCTGACCTTTGCTTAAGGTATCTAGTGTCTCATCCTACTAGACCTGGTTGTTGGTAGCTGAAATATTCATTATATTAACATTTTAAATATAAAAAAGTAAAAAATAAAAATGAAAACTTATTGAATATGCAAAATACGAGATTTAAATTTTATCAAACACATATATTAACAAATAAACAATAACCCATTCATAATTTTATTCTTAAAATATATATGATAGTTTAATAGAATATTTAGTATTTTTATTACAATTGGTTTATGATTTTAGTCCACTAATTGTTTTGCATCTTGTTCCTTTACCACTTGAGAATATTTCCTGCTTAGATGGTGAATAGAAAGTAGGATTCGTTACGTCCATCCACAGCAAGGTAAAACAAGAAATGGAGAGGGTGAACCAAACTAATCTTCCAAAGCTAAAAAAGGACGTAAGAAAGTAATATTTGAACCTGGATCTTGGGTTTGGGTTCATGTGCGTAAAGAGATTTCCAAGCAAGAGGAAGACTAAGTTGGATCAAAGAGAAGAATGTCAATTTCAAGTGTTGGAGCGCATGATAATGCATACCGAATCAATTTACCCGATGAGAATAATGTGAGCTCATCTTTTAATATTGATGAGTTTCCCCTTTTAATTTTTTTTTCAGATTTGAGAACGAATCCTTTCGAGGAAGGGGGAATGATACGTGCAACAAAACCCGTGATCGTGATGAATTAACTTTCTTTCTTGGCCCAATCATGAGATCCAAGTCAAGACAACTAAAGGCTCAACTACATACAATCATGCAAGACTTTGTAAGAAAACGTCTTCAAGCCTTCTTGAAAAATCAAGAATTCCATCAATATTCTCATGTATTTCAGGAAGGAAGCTTAGTAAAAAGAGCCTAAATCACAATCACATGCGTCCAAGGGTATTATGTCACAACCAGATGCCCCAAGTGATGTACACATCCAAACCTTGAAATTAACATTCAATTAATTTTGAATTCTATTAGTTGGGTCAATTATATAACAATTCGACACAAATATAACTTATAAACCTTGGGCGAAATTGGGTCTCTAGCTCAAGAAGAAATTTTATTTTATTTTATGTTTCTAGGATTTATTTAATTTAACATATCTAGTAATCTTTGTGATTGTAATATCAACCGCTGGATATAGTATAGATCATAGGTGAAGATTTTAGCCGGTCAAGTCTTTGTATCCAACCTAACTTACAAATCCATCCATTAGATCTAGAAGTGATCAAGGGCCAAGATATTTTCGTCCACCTCTTTCGGATTTTTACGTTTTTCAACATTGTTATTTTGTTCTAGGGTTAAGCACTTCCTTTTCCTGTGATAGGAGGAAACATCTTCATTGTTTTCCACATCTTGAATAATATTCTTCTTTTATGCATCCTTTCCAAGTATATTTTTCCAAGTGCTTTTATTTGTGCATTTTAAGTTGTTTTTAACACGTTCTTATAACGATTTTTGTGTTGATGTCATCTTCACACTTTGCTTTGCCAAGAAATTTGCTTCTGGGAGGGTCAATTAGAGCCTTTAAGACTTTATCAAATCAATTGCTTTAGAGGGTTCCTAGGACATCCACATGTCATTCGTGTTTCTTCTTGAATCCAAGAATCCTATCTTTATTCTTTCTTGTTTTATTCTTTCTTCTTTGTTTTTTTCTCCTTCTTAATTTATTCTTGTTTTAATCAATTTGCAGCAAGAACCATTTTTTTATTCAATCTTCTAGAGCCTCGTAAGGAGAATTAACTTGACAACTCGATCTTGTTCCGCTGGAAACGTATCAACAAGCTAGTCTTGTCAATGAAGGATTGCTCCATTGCTTATGGCCCAGACGACTGGGTGTCAGCTCTCGGTAAACAATTTTCCAAGTTTTGCACAAGTTTCTTTTGTGGTGTTGAACTGGTGTTTCAAGAGTTTCAGGGTTATATATCAAGTCATTTCTATAGTTGATAATTAAGGTTCTGCTTGATAGATGATTAGTTGTCATTTTCTATGAAGTTAAAAGTAATTTTCTTTCCCCTATATTATTGTTTTTCGGAATTCTTGAACTGTAAGAGTGTTACTATGAAATACCAGATGTTATGGAATTAGAGTTCATGCCCTTTTGCCTTCCATGTTGGTTGATTGGTTCTTTGTGACATGTTAATATGATCATATATTTGATTTATTCATTGTCTTTCAATTTTTTGGTTGTCCTCATTGGTATGGCTAACATGTTGTGACAAAAAAATGTCAATTTTCCCATAGTGATAGATCCGAGGGGATAATCTTTATCGATAATGTTGGTATGTGTCGGAACCGTCTTTCGGTTGGGCCCCGGAATTGGACTTCGACTTGGATTAAATGCTTTAGAGTCGCCACCGATCACTTTAAAAACATTTAGGTAGATCGGACACCATCTTACCAGAAACGTGTCAGATTCGGGAGTCGGGTACGGTTAAGGAAGGATTAGCACCCTTGAACCGCCCTTTCGGTACATATTAATTCATCGGTTGTCTTTAATTGCGAAAACTGAAAACTTTAATTTAAATTTAAATACCCAATTCGAATACTTACCTTTAATTAGTTGAGAATTTCTGTACAAAGTTCAAATGTTAGAGGAAATAAATAAAAAAACTATTAAATAAATCAAAAGAAAGGGGAAAAATAAATAAATAAATAAACAAATAACCAAAGGAAAAATAAAATACAAAACAAATAAAAATATTTAAAAAGAATAGGAAGGAATGATGATAAAAAATATTAAATAACCCAAAATATATAAAATAAAATGAAAGGAAAATATAATAAGAATTAAGTAGTAATAATAAATAAATATATATATATATATGGAAAAAAACACAAAATAAGAAAAATGTAGTAAATAAATAGAATATATATATATAATAGATCAAAGAAAAAAACTAAAATAATGAATCAAAAAATAATAAACTAATATATATATATATATAAATGTAAATCAAAGAAAATAATAATAACAAAATAATAAAGAAAAGAAAAATAAGAAAAAAACCAAATAATAATAAAATGTGCATGAGTGACGAAATTAGAAGAAAATAAAAATGGAAGGTCGAATTCAAAAATCATCAAAACTTGACATAATATGTAAATTAGTGACTTAAATAGAAATAAATAAAATTAGAGGCTCAAAATAAAATAAACCAAACCTTCGTTTGTTGGTTAAAAAGTATGATTACAGGGGATAAGGGACCTACAGGGTTATTACCCCTAATGCGAAAACACGGTATATGGAGGGGAACAAAACTACGCCGTTTTGATTGACGCATAAAAGCCCCCCAAATGGGCTTAATTTCTCTCATCCCTCTCATTCTTCTCTTCTCCACAAAACGCAGAGGGAGAGAGAACTGAGAATTCTCTCAACCCTGATCCCTGGAGGGGGACCGACCCCCAGGCCTACCGTGACACGTTGCCACACTGGCAGCCGGAAAAAACCCAACTCAATCTAAATGGACCCTCTCCCCACTGTGACTCCGAAAACAACTCTCAAACTCCCAAAAAACCCCATACTCGGCTT